CTTTGAATCACTGTGTTTCAAGCAAATTTCTTCTGCTATTTGACAAATCCGTTTAGTGAATGAGTACACTACATTACCAGCATGTTGTATTCCAAGCGTAAACATACTCTATTCGCAAATCTATGATAATAGCAGAACTTTGCTAGTGCTTCGAGGAGGCTTTGCAACTGTTTATGTGCCAAAGTAGGGATACAATTCTTAAATTGTTATCTTGTATAGCTTTCAACATCAGCGTTTAGTGTCGTGCTCCAATGCCCGCTTGTACATCACCCCATTACTGTTTGCAATGTGGTGAAAGCCTAAAGATTTGGGGGAAGAAAGTATGATCTGGGCTTAGCACATCACAGCACAAAATTTAAAAAACTTGCTTAGTGACCTATGTGGAGGAGGTTATTATTCAAGTATTACTTCATTTCTTTAGAACTATTGGATAATCCTCAATTTCATTGGTTTGGAATACTGTGGAGGAATGCTTCAAAATTTCAATTTTTCTTAGGATACGGTCATTCCGCTCCCGAAACTATGGCTGGACGATTTTTCTGTATGGTATTTGCACTTGCTGGGATCCCTTTGGGTTTGATAATGTTCCAATCAATTGGTGAGCGCGTCAACACATGCATAGCCTTCTGCTTGCACCAGGTTATTTTCCTAACAATAATCGCAATTTTTCCTATAAGATTTATTAAGCTTCTCTCCCACATTTAGTTACAGTCTCATCTTCATAAACGTGGTTTCAACTGCATGCGAGAAGTTGCAACAAAGCATCTGCTCATGGTTTCATTTTCCATTGGTACAAGCATCATCATAATTGGTTTGTGAGGGAAGAATATCCACAATCTGCTAGTAAACTGTATAGCTGTTAAGGTACGGTAGTTTTTCATAAGGAAGAACGGTGGACACTATTCGATGCCTATTACTATTGCTTCATTACACGTGAGTAAAACTTATTTCCATATAAATTTTCTTCTTTTGACAATTGCAAAGATAATAGCAGCATTGCTTATGGTTGTTACTACTGCAGTATCTACAATCGGTTTCGGAGACTTGGTACCTCTGCAGCAAGGATCGGCACTGCAACTTCGTCCATTTTACGTAGTCTTCACGCTGCTATTTGTGCTTCTTGGCCTCGCTGTTTTTTCCGCTTGTGTCAATCTACTGGTCCTCGGGTAAGTTTACTCCTCTTAGCATTTTCACGGAGCTAAGCCTGTAGTCATTTGACAATTGGATATCCAGAAGATAAGCTAACACTGTGCTACGCTCTATCGCATTCGTAATCCTTATACATGTAGTTTCTCAAATGAACATAAGTTAGCGGTTAGTTTTGTATAAGGAATCAAGTCCAAAAGGGAGTGTGTAAGGTTCCGCGTTTAGAAAGTAAGTCTTGATTGGTTCATATGAAGAGTTTGCCTAGAAACAACCGTACATACCCACTGACATAATTTCCAAATCGAAGAATTAGCTTTGCACAATTCATAGAACCATAAGGGACTAAGTTGCAACTCCCAGG